GGGAAAGATGTGCCAAATGCTTGGACCCCTGCACCCATGTGAGAGACCTGGATGGATCTCCTGGCTCCTGGCCTCGGCCTGGCCCAGCCCTGGCTATTGCAGCCATTTGGGGAATGAACCAGTGGATGGAAGATACCTCTCTCTCTCTCTAATTCTCTAATTCTGACTTTCAAACACATAAATAAATAATATTAATATTATTTATTAATATTAAAATTATAATTATTAATATAAACTTAAATTAAATTAATAATATTTCTAAAATATAGATTTATGTCTTTTTCCAAAGATCTTTCCATAACTGGGGCTCATGAATCTGGATTTTTCATTAGCAGAATTCAAGACAGGTGATATCTGGACACACTGAGAAATCATAAATTTGGTATATGTGAACAAAGGTTAAAAGAGTTAGGGATTTGGTGTACACCAGTAATTTTCATAAATTGTCTCAAAGGGAAGAGGCAAGGAGTAATATTAATTGAGCATGGGCAGTCATTGTGCTAAGTACCTTACTAATGATGTGCTAATCCTATCAACACATCCTGAAAGGTGGAATTATCATAGCATTTTAGTATTATGGGTTGTTAAGTAGTGGAACAGGATAGTCAGTACATTTTTTTAGCTTCAAAAACCAACAAGATTCTGCTTTTTACTATAACTCATTAAAATATTCACCCTTTAAGATATTCTCACAAAAATATAAATATATCAACATAAATCTGTGAATGTTAATTGTCATGAATGCAAGAAGCAAAAATTTTACAGGAAACACTTTTAAAGAGATATTATAATTAAAAAATGGATTAGTGAAAGATTAGATAAAGGATAGAGACTGTCTAACCTATCAATAGAGGAGGGGTAGTTTATTGACATCTTAGAAATACCGTCCTGTTTAGAGAGAATAGTCTGAGATTTTTATTGAAGCTGCAGTGGAGGGGGCTAGCTTCACAGAAAATGCAGGAGGAGTAGCACATCTTTGAGGTAGCAATGATAGAAGCCAAACCAGGTCTAGCCAAGCACAGAGCATGCCATTGTATTGCTTCTCATCCTTGAATGGTGCTCTCATTGAATTTTATTTAAAGGACTTCTACTGGGATTTGATTTCCTCTCCCTGCCCACAGCAAGAGGCTTCTCTGTTCACCCAGCCATGCCAACTTGGAGCTGGGACAGGAGTTATACAGGCAATGCTTTCCTTTCTACTTACTCCAAGGTGCTTTCTCTTTTCTCTTTTTTTTTGATTTTATAGATGTTTATTTATTTTTTCAACTTTTATTTAATAAATATAAATTTCCAAAGTACAACATTAGGATTATAGCGGCTCTTCCCCCCATAACCACCCTCTGACCCGCAACCATCCCATCTCCAACTCCCTCTCCCATCCCATTCTTCAAGATTCATTTTCAATTATCCTTATATACAGAAGATCAACTTAGTATATACAAAGTAAAGGTTTCAACAGACCCACACAGACACACAAAGTATAGAGTACTGTTTGAGTAGTAGTTTTACCATTAATCTGCATATTACAACACGTTAAGGACAGAGATCCTACATGGTGAGTGGGTACACAGTGACTCCTGTGTTGATTTAACAATTGGTACTCTTATCTATGATGTCAGTAACCATCTGAGGCTCTTGTCATGAGCTGCTAAGGTTATGGAAGCCTCTTGAGTTCACAAACTCCAACCTTATTTAGACAAAGCCATAGTCAAAGTGGAAGCTCTCTCCTCCCTTCAGAGAAAGTTACCTCCTTCTTTGATGGCCCATTCTTTCTGCTGGGATCTCATTCACAGAGATCTTTCATTTAGGTCCTTTTTTAAAATTTTTTTGACACAGTGTCTTGGCTTTCCATGCCTGAGGGCTGATCCTGAGGCCAGGGTGCTGTTTAGGAAATCTGCCATTTGATGACTCTGCTGTGTATCCCGCTTCCCATGTTGGATTGTTCTCCCCTTTTTAATTCTATCAATTATTTGCAGACACTGGTTCTATTTATGTAATCCCTTTGACACTTAATTCTATCCTTTTGATCAATTATGAATTTAAACTGATCACTTTAACAAGTAAGATGGCATTCATACATGCCTCCTTGATGGGACTGAATTGGAATCCCCTGGCACGTTTCTAGCTCTACCATTAGGGATAAGTCTCTTATTCCCACTCTTACATTTAACAGATTACTTTTCAGTTAAATTTAAGTGCCTAAGAATAATTGTGCATTAATTAGAGAGTTCAATCAATGATATTAAGTAGAACAAAAAAATACTAAAAGGAACAAAATAGTAGGTTGTTCCTCGACAGTCAGGACAAGGGATGATCCAGTCATTGTTTCTCATAGTGTCCATTTCACTTCAACAGGTTTCCTTTTAGGTGCTTAGGTAGTTGTCATCGATAAGGGAGAACATATGATATTTGTCCCTTTGGGACTGGCTTATTTCACTCAGCATGATGTTTTCCAGATTCCTCCTTTTTGTTGCAAATGACTGGATTTCATTTTTTATTGCTATATAGTATTTTATAGAGTACATATCCCATAATTTCTTTTTTTAACTTTTACTTAAAATTTAAATTTCCAAAGAACAACTTTTGAATTATAGTGGCTTTTCCCCCCATAACCTCCTGCCCACCTGCAACCATCCCATCTCCCACTCCCTCTCCCATCCCATTCACATTAAGATTCATTTTCAATTTTCTTTATAAACAGAAAATCAATTGAAAATCAATTTAGTATATACTAAGTAAAGATTTCAATAGTCTGCACCCACACAGAAACACAAATTATAAAGTACTATTAAAGTACTAGTTATGCCATTAATTCACATAGTACAACACATTAAGGACAGAGATCCTACATAGGGAGTAAGTGCGCAGTGACTTCTGTTGTTGATTTAACAATTGATACTCTTGTTTATGACATCAGTAATCACCCGAGGCTCCTGTCATGAGTCGCCAAGGCTATGGAAGCCTCTTGAGTTTGCCAGCTCCGATTGTATTCCATAATTTTTTTAATCAGTCTACTGTTGATACGCATTTAGGTTGATTCCAGGTCTTAGCTATTGTGAATTGAGCTGCAATAAACATTAAGGTGCAGACAGCTCTTTTATTTGCCAATTTAATTTCCTTTGGGTAAATTCCAAGGAGTGGGATGGCTGGGTCGAACGGTAAGGCTATATCAGTTTTCTGAGCAATCTCCAAACTGTATTCCATAGTGGCTTTACTAGTTTGCATTCCTACCAACAGTGGAGTAATGTCTCTTTTTCTCCACATCCTCGCCAGCATCTGTTATTAGTTGATTTCTGTATGTAAGTCATTCTAACCGGGTTGAGGTGAAACCTCATTGTGGTTTTGATTTGCATTTCCCTGATGACTAGTGATCCTGAACCTTTTTTCACGTGTATGTTGGCCATTTGGATTTCCTCTTTTGAAAAATGTCTATTTAGGTCCTTGGCCCATCACTTAAGTGGGTCGTTTGTTTTGTTGTTTTGGAGTTTCTTGATCTCTTTGTAGATCCTGGTTATTAAACCTTTATCAGTTGCATAATTTGCAAATATTTTTTCCCATTCTGTCGGTTGCCTCTTCATTTTCCTGACTGTTTCTTTTGCAGTACAGAAACTTCTCAATTTGATGCAATCCCAAATGTTAATTCTGGCTTGACTGCCTGTGCCTCTGGGATCTTTTCTAAGAAATCTTTCCCTATGCCTATATCTTGCAGGGTTTTTCCAATGTTCTCTAATAATTTGATGGTGTTGGGTCGTAGATTTAGATCTTTAACACATGTTGTGTAAGGTGTAAGGTAGGGGTCTTGCTTCATGCTTCTGCACGTGGAAATCCAGTTTTCCCAGCACCATTTATTGAATAGACTGTCCTTACTCCAGGGTTTGGTTTTGGATCCTTGATGTAGATGTTTGGATTGATTTCTGGTGTTTCTATTCTGTTCCATTCGTCTATCCATCTGTTTCTGTACCAGTACCATGCTGTTTTGATTACAACTGCCCTGTAGTATGTCCTGAAATCTGGTATTGTGATGGCTCTGGCTTTGTTTTTGTTGTATAAGATTGCTTTAGCTATTCGAGATCTCCTGTGTCTCCATATGAATTTCAGCATCATTTTTATTACTCTACAATGAGGCATTCTGGTCTCTGACCTGGCTTCTGTTGTTCTTCTGAAGGTGACCTAGTACATGAATAGCAATTCAAATTGGTGTCTCTGTGGGAAGGTGGTCGTCCAAGCATCTGACTCAGCTACCATCCTCCTTTCAGCCACCTGTCTGTTATTTTGGGCAAAAAATTTATCTCTGCTTATCTTAATCATTTTCTGAACTATAATTTTTTTTTTGAATGAAAGGGTTTTTTCCTTTATTTGTTAAGGGTATGAGTTAAATTTAAATGGGTGAAATAAAAGTAATGAGATGAATTTTATAATTACTAGGATATATTAATTTCAACCATGTGTGAATATACTTATATATTTTGTTTCCTTTCTTTCCTGCAATCTTATCCTTGGGAAAGTTCTTCCAGTTGTGCCTTTTCTTTTTCTTCTCCACAACTTTATTTTTTTAAAATTTCATTTAAGTTGTATAAGTTTCATGTATTTCATTTAAACTTATTTAGGAACATAGTGATACCTCCCACCCCAGCCTCCCTCCCACTCAGACTATAACCCTTCTTCTTCCTCCCTCTCCTATTCCCACTCTAAATTTTTACAAAGATCTATTTTCAGTTTACTTAATGATCATAAAGTTAAACCTTAACTACGTAAAAGAATTCAACAAACAGTATGAAGGAAAAAAATACACTATTCCTCAGAGAAAGAGACAATGGCTGTAAACAATCATTGAAGTTCAAAATGTCTATTTATATTTTAGGTACTCTTTTAGCTACCTTGGATCAGGGAAAATATATGGTATTTGTCTTTTTGGGACTGGCTTATTTCACTAAGTATAATGGTTTCCAGTTGCATCCATCTTGTTGCAAATGACTGGGATTCATTTCTTTTTTTTACAGGTAAGTGGGACTCCATAGTGTATATATATACCATAATTTCCTTATCCAGTCAACAGTTGATGGACATCTGGGTTGAATCCATATCTTAGCTATTGTGAATTGAGCTACAATGAACATGTAAGTACAGATAACTCTTTCATATAGTGATTTCTTTTGGTTTATGTGCATTCCCAGGAGTGGAATGGCTGGATTATATGGTAAGTCTATATTCAGATTTCTGAAATATCTCTATAGTTTTTTCTACAGTGGCTGCACAAGCTTACATTTCTACGCACATCCTTACCAGCGTTTGTTGTTTGTTGATGTCTGTATGAAAGTCATTCTAACCAGAGGGAGGTGAAACCTCATTGCTCCCCCACTTTCTCAACCCTTTTAACAATTGCTTTCAGTGCCTCTGTCCTGAGAATGAATTTCTGCTGAAAAGCCTGGAAAGCATTGCAGAGAAGCACCAAATAAGACTCATCTTTTTTTAAACTTTTATTTAATGAATATAAATTTCCAAACTACAGCTTATGGATTACAATGGCTTTTTCCCCCCATAACTTCCCTCCCACCCGCAACCTTCCCTTCTCCCGCTCCTCTCCTATTCCATTCACATCAAGATTCATTTTCAATTATCTTTATATACAGAAGATCAATTTAGCATATATTAAGTAAAGATTTCAACAGTTTGCACCCACACAGAAGCACAAAGTATAAAGTACTGTTTGAGTACTAGTTATAGCATTAAATCACAATGTACAGCACATTTAGCACAGAGATCCTACGTGAGGAGTAAGTACACAGTGACTCCTGTTGTTGACTTAACAAATTGACACTCTTGTTTATGGCATCAGTAATCTCCCTAGGCTCTTGTCATGAGTTGCCAAGGCCATGGAGGCCTTTTGAGTTCGCCAATTCTGATCTGATCTTATTTCGACAAGGCCATAGTCAAAGTGGAAGTTCTCTCCTCCCTTCAGAGAAAGGTACCTCCTTCTTTGATGACCTGTTCTTTCCACTGGGATCTCACACACAGAGATCTTTCATATAGGTTTATTTATTTATTTATTTATTTTTTATTTTTGCCACAGTGTCTTGGATTTCTATGTCTATAATACTCTGATGGGCTCTTCACCAGATAAGTGCCCTAAGGACTGATTCTGAGGCCAGAGTGCTGTTTAGGACATCTGCCATTCTATGAGTCTGCTGTGTATCTCGCTTCCCATGTTGGATCATTCTCTCCCTTTTTTATTCTATCAGTTAGTATTTGCAGACAGTAGTCTTTTTTATGGGATCCCTTTGACTCTTAGTCCTATCATTATGATCAGTTGTGAACAGAAACTGATCACTGGGACTAGTGAGATGGCATTGGTACATGCCACCTTGATGGGATTGAATTGGAATCCCCTGGCACATTTCTAAATGAGACTCATCTTAAAGCGTGTCTACAAAGAGCAATTAATGTTAGCTACTGGGTCTATTTGACTAGGGGGATGTTCACACAAGTTCATGCTGTCCATCTAGTATAACCTTGCGTATTCCTTTGTTTTATCTATACATTCCTTATTTGTTCCCAGAAATGCCCTCTTTAATATTAATCAGTAGTCTTCTTTTCAGTAGCACTATTTAGAGTCAATATTTGAAACAATGTTCTAAAACATGTAATCTCCAATCTGTGAGAAGAGAAATTTGTCCCCACTTACATAAAGCATACTACTTTGGGCCAAACCAATGGATGTTTACTATATAATGATAAATGATAATTATTGTCATTGAATATGTAAATTTGGACTAGAATTTGAACACTTAGGAACACTGATCAAGACTCCTCAAAGGTTATTGGGCTTGTTTCTCCCAGACCTGTTTATCATGTTCTGCCTTGAATAAACCTCACCTTAACTGTTTTATAGCCTATTTATTTCTCTCAACAAATTCATATTTTGAATCTTATTCAGTGAGCTCCAAATTCTTCACTGGTGCTGTCAAAATTTAATATGGAGAAGAGAGTTATTAAAGAGCTATTTATAAAATGTGATAAAGTAAATATAAGAGTAAACCAAAGAGGAGAACAGGACATTAATGATGCAATTTTCTCATGTATTATAAAATTATTTTCTTGTATTTCTTATCCATGTGTAATTAAGTTTGAATTAAAATTCAGTGAAAATAAGCTACATCCTTTAAAATGTTAAAGCATAAATAGTTAAAAAAAACTTAGGTATGGCCTAGTTTGCTTTCTTCACGATACAATAATATGTTGGTTGCATGTTTAATAAAAAGTGACAAATTTATTCTTTTATTACCATTGAAGTAAAGCTAAAGAAAATAACACAATTTTTAGAAATGTAGAAATTTACTACATAGTGACATAATTTTATTATTTTACTTAATTTTAGGGAACATAACACTTTTTCTTACACAAAGTAAAACAGCCAATATTCTTGAGACCAATGAACTGTTCGTTTTTCTGTATGGAGCATTCCAATATTAGTATAGTCACTAGAATATCAAATGTATATGTTACATATTGTTGATATGAAGAACATGCAAATGAGTGAATTGAAAATATTTTTTCGGTGTGTTGCAGTACTCACATTTCTAGGTGCAAATGGTATTTGCAACAAAACATATAATAAAGAGAACATCTCAGATGCTATGCCGTTTTCCTCACTGGAATTTAGCTAGGCTATTGGAGCTTGGAGGTAGATGAAGAGGACAGAAATGGTAAGGAAGAGCCAAAGGTAAGTTAATGTTAAAGCTAAGAGCTTAGCAATCAATTTTCCTTATAAAAGTTAAAAAGGAACCAAGAGTTCAAAAGTTATATTAATTTCCCAACTGACCAAGCAGTGAGTCATGAGGATTTAAATTCAGCACTCCAGTTTCAAATCTAATGTTTCTTGTTTCTTGGTTAGCAGGTATATAACATTTTAGTTCATAATTTAAAATTATTAAAGTTGTTGAACTATTTATTGAGTAGTTACTGTATGCCAGACCACATTTAAATTTTTTTCCTCTACTGGTGCTAATCCTCATATGTCTTTTTTTCCACTTCAAAATTCTAATTGACTTATGATAACTATGTATACTTACGGAGTAACTGTGCTGTTTAAATACATACAATCTATAAATATGCCAAAAGGATAATGACACATCCATCACTTTAAATATGTATCAGATCTTATGTTTGGAATGTTCAAAATATTCTTCATTAGCTATTTTGAAATAAACAGCTAATTATTGTCAGTCATAGTTATCCCACTGTCCTAAAGAATGTTAGAAGTGATTCCTCCTATCTGACTATATTCCTGTACCTTCTAACTCACCTCCCTCCAGCCTCTCCTCCCTTCAGCCCCACCCCCAGCCTCTAGTAATGATTATGTTACTCTCTACTTATATGAGATTAATTTTTTTTTTGGTTTCCACATATAAGGTAGACAATGAAGCTTTTGTTTTTCTATACCTGACATTGCAGTTAACATAATGCTCTTCCAGGCTCATCCATGAGCTGCAAATGACATTATTTCCTTGTTTTCTATGACTGAATATATTTCACACTTTTTATTCCGTTCATCCATTGAGAGACACTTAGGTTGAGTCCATATCTTGGCTATTGTGAATAGTGCTGCAATAAATATGGAGGGGTGGATATCCAACATGCTGATTTCCTTTCATTTGGATATTTACCCAGTGCTGGAATTGATGATCATATTGCAGTTCTGTCTTTCTATGTATTTTTAAAATACATACTTTATTTACTTGAAAAGCAGAGATATAGAGCTATCTCCTATTTGCTGGTTCACTCCTAAAATGACCACAACCACATAGCTCTGAGCCAGATTGGAGCCCAGAGGTAGTTAGTCAATCCCAGTGTTTCATATGGGTGGCAGTGACACAAGTACTTAAGCCATAACCTCCTGCCTCCGAAGATGCATTTTACCAGCAAGTTTGGAATTGGGAACAGAATTTGGACTGAAATCCAGGTACTCTGATGCGGGATGTAGGCATTACAAGTGGAATTTTAACCCCTATGCCAGATGCCCATCCATGCTTCTAATATTTTTTCAAGAAATTCCATACTGGTTTTCATAGTGACTCTAGTATTTCACATTTATATAAACACCATGCGAGAACTTCTCTTTTTCACTAGCATCTGTGATTAATGTTATTATAATTTTTACTTTAAATCTTTTCAACTCATACATTTTATAGGGCACAGTACAATATTTCAATACATATATGCAGTGGAAACTGATTGTTTCCTCATCTTATCCTAGTGCTTGGAGACTACCAGCTGCTCTCGTCCAGATTCGTTTTCTTTTTCTTCTTAAAAATATTTTATTTATGGTTTGTCTTTTCGAAAAAGCCATTCCAATTTGAGTAAGAAGACATCACATAGTGGTTTTGATTTACATTTCTGTGATGACTAGTGATGCTGAGCATTTTTTCACATACTTGTTGGACAGTTCACAACAGGCTTTTTATAAATTTTCTTATTACTCCATTTTATAAATGGAGAAACTCTGACCCAGTATGACAAGTAGTGAAACAGAAAGATTTTTATTCAAATCTGTATTTATCAGATGGACTTTAGTCATCACTGCTGCCTCTCAGGGTGTCCATTAGTAGGAGACTGGATTGGAAGTGGAGCCCGGACTGAAACCCAGAGACTTTTATAAGTGATATAGGCATCCCAAGTAGTGTCTTAGCTGCTGTGCCAAATTCCTGCCCCTAAATTGATGTTCTGAAATATTAAATTACACATCATTATAGATTTTTACAATGTACAGCTTAAGATTATTATTAGAAAGCAATGAATATTAGAATTTTAATGCAAAATCTAAATAATTACTATGAAAAATGTAGAAATTCACAGATATCTTATTATGCTGTTATTTTTCTTAAAGGACAAAAGTTATGATGTACATGATTGCATCTACATTGAAAATAAATGTACTTATGGGCATATATAATAGATTAAAAATAAAAATATATTATTTGATAACTGATGATGTTGTAAATTAATTTTGCCCAAAATATTACTTATTTATGTGATTATATGGTATTTTTTCTATCTAAGATAATAGAGGAATTCCAAAGACTAATTTAAAAAATTATATGAAGGTTAAGTCTAGCAACAAATAAATTAGTAGAATTATTTTTGCTGCAAAGGAAAATAATTTTAATATGATCACATGAATGTTAGAAAAACTTTCACATTTTACTAATCCATTTCTTTATAACTTGTATGCACCTGAGTTTTAGTTCTTGTATAAACTTCATTTTGCACCATTTTTTTCTTTTTAATTTGTTTTAAATTCAAGTCGATGGGACATGCAAAATAATCACGAGGCATTTTTAGTGTACTCAACAACAATTTTCATTAAAATCTAGTTTTTCTACTTTCTAATCTACACACAGAATTTGATGCCTTGTTTTCTGAAACTGGTAAATATCTACTCATTGTTTTTGTTTCTCCAATCCTTATGGATCTGCAGTAGAATTTGTTTTCCTTTGCCTTTAGTAATACATTTATGGATAGATTTATGCTTGCAGTCATGGAAGATTGGAAAATGTTGACCAACTTTCTTATTGAGAAAAATGAGTAAAAGTGAGGAACATTTGCCTGAAGGCATGAAAAGCCATTAAAGCTGTGAAGAAAGAGAAGGCTAAATTCTGGAAGAAGAGAGGTATACCTAAATTTTAGAGTGCCTTTTTCCTTAAGGTTTCCTTTAGATTTCAGACAAGGTAATTTTCAAAGGGGCCTTTGAAAATGTTGTGAAACTGGAGGAACAAATATTCAAATTTACTTCACTCTAAAAGAAACCTATTAAATCTCCCAAATATGGTTGGGGTCCTGAAGGACTGCTCTTGGAGAAAATGCATTCATAATGAGTTAGCCTTGTACAGCTTGAAACCCAGTTCTGAATCATTTCAAGCTCTTCTGTTGGATGAAGATGATCCCCAAACACTAGTGTTTCTGGTAGTTTACCAGCGGTAAATGCAAATCCCCACTTGAAGATTATAACATCATCTTAAATCATGTATTATTTTACAATTTTCTAGTCACAAAGCTTGACAGATTAAAAATCACAGGTGTGCAGATTGTTAAAACAACAAGAATAAAAGAAATAAAAAGGCAATAAATGATAGGAAAACACTGATGGAGCTCCTGGTAATAAAACTTAACAGACACATAAACACTATGGCTGAAGAGGATAAATGTGAGATTGGAGATTTTAACAGAGAATTGGAAGCTAGAACAAAGTGAACTGTACATTCTAGGACTGAAAAAATACAAATTTAAAACATAAATCAATGGCTAGGTTTAATAGCAGATTGGACGCAGATGAAAAGAAAAATCATTCACTGAGATGCAGCTTTGCAACAGAATAAATGGAAACTAGGAGACACAAGAATTGTACAGTCAAAGTCTGAAAATAAAATAACTATCAACATCCAATTTGAGCGTCGGTTCTAGTCCTGGATGCTCCACTTCAGTTCCAGCTTTCTGCTATGGCCTGGTAAAGCAGTAGAAGATGGTCCAAGTTCTTGGGCTTCGCACCCACATGGGAGACCCGAAGAAGCTCCTGACTCCTTGCTTTGGATGTGCGCAGCTCCCACCATCGTGCCATCTGGGGAATGAACCACTGGATGGAAGACCTCTCTCTCTCTTTCTCTCTCTCTCTCTCTGGGTAATTCTGAGATTCAAGCAAATAAATAAATCTTTAAAAAATTGAAGACAATTTTGGGGCAAAAAAATGACAAAAAAAGAAATCCTAAGTTTATCAATGTAGCTGAGATAAAGGAAATAAAAAGGATTATTTTGCGATGATAAGAAACAAATCCTAAATGCAAGGCAAATGATTTAGATGGGACTAACAAACTAGCAAAATTGTAATTATCTGGAAACAAACAAAAATATATATTTACTGTGTAGAAGAGCAATAACAATCATCTCCAGGATTTAAAGTATATGTAGATTTAAAAAAAATGACAACAGCAACCCAGACAGGAGTTAAATTATTCTAGCATCTTGCTTTATCTGACAGCAAAGTAAATATCCAGTGAAACTCATCCTCACTCCAGAATACCTGATGCCTTCTCCTTCTTTATTTATCTGCATAGCATTATCAGCACCTGACTAGTCATGTGTGGTAGTTATTCAAATTTACTGCCTCTTAATGGTTAATTCACACGCAGCATGAGAAAATAGAATAATATATGTCTTATAAATATTTTCGAGTCATTTAATGATAACTGTAATATAGCATTTGCAAATTTACTTTTTTATATAATGTAGTAATATGCAAATAATTCCTTATATGTAAGATGTAGTGTTAAAAATAATAAGTCTTGGAGTTATTTAGAAAAGGCATGTTTGTCTTGCTCTTTAACTTGGGCGTATCAAAATCAGCTAGGTTGGTAATGTGACATACTGACATAATCCACATCAACATGGCATTTTAATAATAGACAAAGCATGAAATATGAATGCAAAAGTAGATTATAATATGGCAAAGATGATTAATGATTACCCTTATAAATGTTAATGCATTTTATTCTGTAGAATATAAGAGCTGTGATGTCACTTTACATATATATATTTGCAAATTAATCTAACTGTAGAAGAAGGAAGTTATTAGCTCATCTGTATGTATGAAAATATTTATTGGTATATTAAAACGATGATATAAATTTTTTAATAGATTAGGATATTTTCTCTTCAAAGCTACATAAATGTGTGGCAAAATGATTCTTTCAATTAAGATGTATGATAAAATTAAGTTTTCCATTTCAATTATGTATTTTTCAATTAACAAAATTATGTCAATGATAATACATCTTTTTTGAATACAAGTGTAATAAATATTATTTCCAAATATATTATTTGGAGGAAGTTACAAAGCTTAAAAATATGAAACATTTGGGGCTGGCACTGTGGTGTAGTGGGCACTTGCAGTGCCCCTTCCCATATGGACACTGGTTTGACTCCCAGTTGCTCCACTTCTGATCCAGCTCTCTGCGATGGCCTGGAAAAGTAGTGGAAGATGGCCCAAGTCCTTGGGCCCCTGCACCTGCAAGGGAGACACAGAAAAATCTCCTGGCTCCTGGCTTCAGGTCAGCCTAGCTCTGGCCGTTATTGTCATCTGGGGCGTGAACCAGCAGATGGAAGACATCTCTCTCTCTCATTCTGCCTCCACCTCTCTGTAGCTCTGCCTTTCAAATAAATAAGTAAATCTATCTATCTATCTATATAACATTTAATACTATTTCATGCATCGTCATGGTCCTCTCAGGATTAAGAATCCCTTATCAATATATTATTAATATAGGAACTTACAGTTTTGTTAATAGTTATTTCAATAGACTTTTATTAATTAACTCATTTAAGTGAGTTATACTTCTCAAAGGACCATTGGTTGAACTCTGTAATTAACACACAATTATTCTTAGGTGTTTAAATTTTAACTGAAAAGTGATCCCTGTTAGGAATCTGGAAAGCATTATACTGAGTGAAATAAGCCAGTTCCAAAGGGACAAATACCATATGTTCTCCCTGATCGGTGACAACTAACTGAGCATCAAAAAGGAAACCTGTTAAAGTGAAATGAACACTAGGAGAAACGGTGACTTGATCAGCCCTTGCCCTGACTGTTGATGAACAACTTAATACGTTATCCCTCTTAGTATTTTTTTTTGTTTATTTGTTCTACTTAATGCTTTTGGTTGAATACTGTAATCAATACACAGTTATTCTCAAGTGTTGAAACTTAACTAAAAAGTGATCCCTGTTAAATATAAGAGTGGGAGTAAGAGAGGGAAGAGATGTGCAATTTGGGACATACTCAAGCTGACTTACCTCAAACGGTAGAGTTAGAAACATACCAGGGGATTCCAATTCAATCCCATCAAGGTGGCCTGTACCAATGCCATCTCACTAGTCCCAGTGATCAATTTCTGTTCACAATTGATCATAATGATAGGACTAAGAGCCAAAGGGATCACATAAACAAGACTAGTGTCTGCAAATACTACCTGATAGAATAAAAAAGGGAGAGAACAATCCAACATGGGAAGTGAGATAATAGAATGACTGATGTCCTGAACAGCACTCTGGCCTCAGAATCAGCCCTTAAGGCACGCGGATCTGGCTGAAAAGCCCATGAGAGTATTATAGGCATGGAAAGCCAAAACACTCTGGTAAAACAAACAAACAAACAACAAAAAAAAAAAAAACAAAAAAAACCCAAAACAAACAAACAAACAAAAAAACAGAAAAACCTAAATGAAAGATCTCCACAAGTGAGATCCCAGTGGAAAGAACAGGTCATCAAAGAAGGAGGTATCTTTCTCTGAAGGGAGGAGAGAACTTCCATTTTGACTATGACCTTGTCTAAATATGATCAGTGTTGGTGAACTCAAAAGGCTTCCATGGCCTTGGCAACTCATGACAAGAGCCTAGGGTGATTACTGATGCCATAAACAAGAGTGTCAATTTGTTAAGTCAACAACAGGAGTCACTGTGCACTTACTCCTCATGTAGGATCTCTGTGCTAAATGTGCTGTACATTGTGATTTAATGCTATAATTAGTACTCAAACAGTATTTTTCACTTTATGTTTCTGTGTGGGTGCAAACTGTTGAAATCTTTACTTAATATATGCTAAATTGATCTTCTGTATATAAAGAAAATTGAAAATGAATCTTGATGTGAATGGAAGGGGAGAAGGAGCGAGAAAGGGGAGGGTTGTGGGTGGGAGGGAAGTTATGGTGGGGGGAAGCCATTGTAATCCATAAGCTGTACTTTGGAAATTTATATTCATTAAATAAAGTTAAAAAAATATATTGATAAGGGATTCTAATTTCTCCCTACAGTTAGCCAAAACAACATGCTGTATTCATTTCCAGGCCTGAAGGAGTAAAAGATAGAGCAGATACAGTATTGGA